CCGACAATGGTCGACAATTCATCGCACAGGAATTCGAGGACTTCCTCCACGAACTCGGAATCAAGCATCTTGCGACCTCGGTGGAACACCCCAGACCAACGGCCAAGCCGCACATGCCACTGTGTCAGCTTCTCTAAGGACCACTTCATGTTGACAGGCAAGAAATGCGCGCACTTAGTTAACCGATCAACAATTACCCAGATAGCATCACTATTCCTAGATGACCTAGGCAACCTCACGATGAAATCCATAGTAATGCTATCCCATTTCCACTCGGGAGTCTCAATCTGTTGCATTAACCCACTAGGCTTTTGATGTTCAACCTTTGCCTTCTGACAGGTTAAACAGGCCGCCACATACTCAGCTATCTCTCTCTTCATACCAGACCACCAGAAAGTCTTCTTGAGGTCTTGGTACATCTTAGTCATACCTGGATGGAGATAGAAGACAATGCTTATAATCTGAAAAAATGTAGAAGCAGATGTTGGCTGAAGGTAAGATGTTGGTTGGATATGTGTCTCGTTTATTGATTGCATACCTTTTTAAACCACATTTTTGTTTGTTAAGAGCTAGCTAGGATTTGATAGCATGTGAAAGTGTGAATGCAGGGAGAGGAGTGACTGAACAAAGCAGAAACAAGGGAGAGGAGTGTGTGCTTGTTGTTATTGTGATGTCTATCTATTTAATCACGTGTGTCTCTGTTTGTCTCTCATTTTAATGTATGCTTGATTTCTTGCACTTTATGGAGTAATTAATGTATTTGTGAAAATTTAGACAATGTTAACTAGATCCTGTAAAAAAAGCTATCTCAGTGTAGAGTACCTTTTTGGTGGTGGGTGGGGTTGCTGGGGTAAGGATGGCTTGGCTTCGAATTGAAGGTTGATATGATTTCCTTGCTTTCTTCCATGTTCTGAACCTGTTTGATTTTGATCTAAGTTGAAACTGCCACTGCACATACTTGTTCTTCCCATTCAAAACCGTATTATTATTGTTCTTGCACACATCCCCTGTGCTCCTTATGAATATGCTTTTCCCTATGGAAGACATCTCTGTACACTGAAAATACATTAAGGAATTTTTATTTGATTGAAACTAGGGTAGTTCACTTCATTCAGCTCAGAACACAAGATAAACAGTATATAAAAGATTAGATATATTCATATTCATATTCACAAGGAATCAGAGAGAATTATAAGTCACTCAGCTGCATGTGATTTTAATTCAATCAAACTTACAATTATCTATATATTAATTTTTGTTTTTTTCTTGAAAATCAAATCAGGAGAGGGAAGGGAATGCTAATTTCTCAGTTTTGTAAGAGTTATAATTCTTTTACGAAAATGAATAAGGGGTGACCGGGAGATTACAAGGTAATATCTATTCTTGTTCCTTTCATTCTAAAATGAAAATGTATGCTGCCTTTCATCAAAACTCTTTCACCCGAACATATTCTTATAGGTCTGACAAAGTTAACAATGTTTCATATATATCACAAATAACACTGTCTTCAGGCTTCAACTTCTTCAGTTATAGTAGAACTATTAACTAAATTTCAATTTGGCTAGGCTTGGTGGATTTTGATTTGAATTTTATCAAGTATGTGAGTGCAGAATTCTTCTAATGCTACTTTCATAGAATGAACTATTCATTATATGTATTTCAACCCTATTGAAAGTGGAGTTTTCTCAAGAATGAATGACAATTTATTACTAGAGATTCTAGAGTTTCTACCTTTTTAAAAAATGACCATTTTTTCTTTGTGTAGCTGAATAAGAACACGTGAACAACTGTTATTGCTATATTGCAATCTAATATGTTAGTAGACCATTTAACATAATCGGATATCAAATTTAAGAGAAAATGCTCTGGTTTTTGGAACAAAAAATTACAATCTCAAAAGGTTAACTCATAATAATGAAAAACAATAAAATTAAAAGAATACCTCTAACAGAAAATAAAATATATTTTAAAATATATTATTGAATATTTATATCTAATAATAAAAATTAAAAGAAAATAAAATACAACAAGAGTAAATAAATTAGAAGCAGGACTATAATTTGGAAGTTAAGGAGGGAAACATACCTCTAACAGATAATTAAACATCCAAACTATCACAAGGCACTTCATAGTACTGCATTATAAACTTAGATAATTAGAACATTATCTTTGAGTACTACATAAACAAAATAAAAGTGGCCTAGTAAAAAGGATAATGACATAAGAAATAGAAAATAAGTAAACACTCCTTTTAATTACTCAATTTAAAAAAGATGTTATTATATTAACAAGAAGGGTAGTGTTTTAACAAGAAAATTTATTGCCATATATTTTTAAAAAATTACTTATATCTAGAAGTATAAAGAAAAGAAAAACGAATTAATATAATTTAACAACTTAAAATGAATAAGTATTCGATATTTTTGTGCAATATCCATCCCTACTTCTGAATGACTCGTAAATGATAAATTTTCGGTAACATTATTGGTTAAGGTTGTATGTGACAAAGTGAGTGCAACAAAGCAAGGTTGTCATGTCACGTACTCCAACAGAATAAAGAATTAGAGCTATGAACTAGACATACTATCTAACTACATTTTCATATATTCATGGAAGCAGCTACTAAAGCATACCATCATTCCTCTCTGCATGCGTTGTTGTTTCTTTTTAGTCATCCTCAGAACCCTATAGTAAGATAACATGAATATATCAGAACTATTGTATCTCAAATGCCTTATGCAAAATAAAACACTTTCACCTGTTTTTTAAGCCCTTTAGAAGATCTGCTTTAGAAATTTCTCCGGTCTTTGCCAAAGTCCACACTATCAATACGTCGAAGTGCCACTCTAGGTACCAGTTTTCCTGTACATATAATATACATCCAAGAAATGCACAAGAAACATGTAGAGTGAATATACTTAAACTGCCCAAAAAAGAAAAATTTTTCCAACATCATACTTGAGCGAGTGCTCAAAAGCTGCATCAAAATCATCACTAAGAAACACAGACAGTACATTTTTAAAAGTTTTTCATTCAAACTCATGTTTTATATGTAATGTGCATTCCTTCTTGAAAATTATAAATTTATGGGCTTTAAAATAGTTTGATATTGTTAAATATATATATTTTTCTTATTTGGTAACTTGGTACTTAGCATTCAATTTGCAATTTTTTCTTAGAAATTCACGTGCCTTATTCTAAACAAATCTTAGAAAATTTCTAGAGACAATCCTAAACTTCTTGCACCAAGGCCAGGATCCAGTAAAACCACCTATTATAACCATTATATATTTAACTTTTCTACAGAAAACAAAATGAGGAACTATTCTGCAATGGCTCACAATAATAGATAGATATATAATCTAAAGATAAATTACCAAAATTCTCATTCTAAATAAAAGTAAAAACAATTTTACCAGTCATGCACTCACAACAACAGAACAAAAGCTACCCAACTTTCTTCCAGCCCAAAACTGTGCCTAATCATCGTTTCTCACTGTGTCTAAGAAAACCTTTAGTGGAAGAGGCAAAATCCACTTCAGTGATCTCTGTCTCAAAAGGAATTAATCTCTCACTGTCAACTCAATAATTCCCTTGTTACACACAAACAAATCACCATCTCCCACTCCATTAAAACGGGTCTTATGATTCCGAGCATTAAATTCATAATTGCAAAATAATTGCTTGCTTATAATTTATTTTGAAAGATTCTAGCTTCTACTGCTCAATGCCCAGTTCCCTCTATTAGGCTTTCCAGAAATACATTCAATTAAAATACAGCAAAAAAGAATTTACATGTGACCAATAAGAATCAACTAGAACATATAGGGAGAATGAAGAATAGACATATTTCAGCAAATCCAGAAGTCAGAAACAATATATCACCTCTCAAGTATCAACTAATGTACTAGTCAAACAGCAAACTATCAATATGTATTCTGGATATGAGTGCACTTCAGCAATTTTAGAGTTTGAAGGTTTGGAGTATGCATTTTAATTTGCTATAGTAGGATAAGATTCTTCACCCATGTTCTGTAGTCTAAAGAGTAATTTTTTGTTCCAAAAACCAGAGCATTTTCTCTTAAATTTGATATCCGATTATGTTAAATGGTCTACTAACATATTAGATTGCAATATAGCAATAACAGTTGTTCACGTGTTCTTATTCAGCTACACAAAGAAAAAATGGTCATTTTTTAAAAAGGTAGAAACTCTAGAATCTCTAGTAATAAATTGTCATTCATTCTTGAGAAAACTCCACTTTCAATAGGGTTGAAATACATATAATGAATAGTTCATTCTATGAAAGTAGCATTAGAAGAATTCTGCACTCACATACTTGATAAAATTCAAATCAAAATCCACCAAGCCTAGCCAAATTGAAATTTAGTTAATAGTTCTACTATAACTGAAGAAGTTGAAGCCTGAAGACAGTGTTATTTGTGATATATATGAAACATTGTTAACTTTGTCAGACCTATAAGAATATGTTCGGGTGAAAGAGTTTTGATGAAAGGCAGCATACATTTTCATTTTAGAATGAAAGGAACAAGAATAGATATTACCTTGTAATCTCCCGGTCACCCCTTATTCATTTTCGTAAAAGAATTATAACTCTTACAAAACTGAGAAATTAGCATTCCCTTCCCTCTCCTGATTTGATTTTCAAGAAAAAAACAAAAATTAATATATAGATAATTGTAAGTTTGATTGAATTAAAATCACATGCAGCTGAGTGACTTATAATTCTCTCTGATTCCTTGTGAATATGAATATGAATATATCTAATCTTTTATATACTGTTTATCTTGTGTTCTGAGCTGAATGAAGTGAACTACCCTAGTTTCAATCAAATAAAAATTCCTTAATGTATTTTCAGTGTACAGAGATGTCTTCCATAGGGAAAAGCATATTCATAAGGAGCACAGGGGATGTGTGCAAGAACAATAATAATACGGTTTTGAATGGGAAGAACAAGTATGTGCAGTGGCAGTTTCAACTTAGATCAAAATCAAACAGGTTCAGAACATGGAAGAAAGCAAGGAAATCATATCAACCTTCAATTCGAAGCCAAGCCATCCTTACCCCAGCAACCCCACCCACCACCAAAAAGGTACTCTACACTGAGATAGCTTTTTTTACAGGATCTAGTTAACATTGTCTAAATTTTCACAAATACATTAATTACTCCATAAAGTGCAAGAAATCAAGCATACATTAAAATGAGAGACAAACAGAGACACACGTGATTAAATAGATAGACATCACAATAACAACAAGCACACACTCCTCTCCCTTGTTTCTGCTTTGTTCAGTCACTCCTCTCCCTGCATTCACACTTTCACATGCTATCAAATCCTAGCTAGCTCTTAACAAACAAAAATGTGGTTTAAAAAGGTATGCAATCAATAAACGAGACACATATCCAACCAACATCTTACCTTCAGCCAACATCTGCTTCTACATTTTTTCTATACACCCAAAAAAATATTAATTGCTATCCATAATTTTCCCCACATGGCCGGCCATGTTGAACACTTGACCGAATTAGTAAATGCTATCAATAATTTCTCAACAAACATACTACCGAGTACTACGTATTAACCAAAATACAGAAATAAATGTCAAGAAATTACTTATATAAAAAAAAATTCATTCCCTCCTGAGATATATAAAATATATTATATTTTTCAAAATATTTTAATCATATTTATTATAAATAGTAATCTCATTTATTATTTTAAAAATATTTTTAGATTAAAAATATTAAATAAAATTAACTTATTAAAAATTATTAATATTTTAGATTAAAAAAATTAAGAGTTTTTATTTATTTATTTATAATTATCCTATACAGCTAACGTTTATTGATTGAATTGATGTTATAATTGATTTTCGAGTTTTAAGATCATAAATTCGAATCTTGAATTTGATTGAAAAAAAAATAATATATAGTTTAGAATTTTAAAAGAAAGTAATTTATTCGGAGATATTTCAATATCATAATAAAAATAAATAAATAAATAATCCTATGCATTTGTTAACAAGGTTTGCCCTTATGTAGAAAATGAGCCACGTCCAAACTAAAGTATTATCAACCTAAAGCCGGTGAACATTTATTCTTTATATTTTTATACTTATTTTGAAATTCAATCTTTATATTTTTAATCAGTAATATTTTCATATGGCACCATTAATTAGCATTTTATTTATAATAAAACTTGAACTTACGATTACATTTAGTTAATTCTATTATATAAATTAAAGTTGTATTCTAAATATATACATTTTATTTTAAGTGATTGTTATATTTAATGTTAATAATAAGTAATATATAGAAAATGAATTTAATAAAGAAATGTATAAAATAAATTTAATTTTTAATAATTTTAAAAATCAATAATTATTGTTTATAATTAGTATTAAAAAAATCTAATTTGTTACTTATAGGTAATATTGGAGGAGGTAGTATAATTAATTCTGTGTGTCTCTAAGTTTTCTTATTTTTTCCCCTGGTAGTATTTTCTGGATATGTTCATCTTAATTAATTCCTAATCAATATTATACAAAAAAATATGAAGGGAAAAAAAAAAAACATGCATCTATTATTAATCTTCAGGCCCATATTTGTGGTTCTTTTAACGAACACTAAATATGGAGAGTGAAACACATCGGATTAAAATATATAAAAAGGAGATACCTCTTTTTAATATTCACTTTTCAAAACTAATTATATTTTTATATTTTTTTCTCACTAACATGTATTTAAGGATAAAAAAATGCATATAAAAAAATAACTACCTTTTTTAAAATAAAAAATTCCTTAATAAGTAAATGTATTTGGATTTAGTTACAGAAAATAATAACTACTCATTAACCTTTTATAAAAAGAAAACTTATCTATTGTTGTAGTGATTTTTTTTTTTTCTCTTTATGGATGACATTTCTCAAATAAGACAGATTACTATGATGGGAGTTGATGCGGATAGAATTTAGGCAATAAAACTCTTCCTAATAAATAACACAGTCATAAGCAAAACTAAAACTCAAACCAAGTTAAATTGAAACAATTTGTGCTGGTTGATTCCTCGTTCGGTGGTTGGTGAAAATTATTTTAAAATTGCTTGCAGGTGTGACAAAAAAAATTCTACTAAAATCATATAAACTAAATTTAAAATAAGTGAAAATTATAAGAACTATAATTTCCTAAAACTTTTAAAAGTCTTCAGCGCAGGATCGGGATTCACTATTTTTTAAGATGTATTAAAATCATTATAAAAATATTTTTATAGCGTCCTAAAATTTAAAAAATATATATTATAAATTGCTTGATAAGTTTTTTTTAATGTTAGTTTACACTAGGGAAATAAAGAGAAAAAAAAAAGATATATGACTGATATATTATATAATAAAAAGAAAAATAAAAAATACAAAGACAAATAAATCATTTAGAAGATTAAAATATATATAATATAGTAAAACGAGAAATAAAAAAATACAAAGACGAATAAATTATTTATAATATTAAAATATTTGCATAGATGTGATAAACAAAAATTAACTCCCTCAAGCTGCCTCCATCCCTGTTGTTTAGGACACTCGTACTTTAATTTCTATTTTAATTTTCTATCAAATAATAATGAAATGGGTTATGATTGTCTCAAATATAAATGATGTAGGTTTCTAAATATTCCACCACTCATCTAAAGTTTCTAAAATAATTCATAAAAAAAAATTTATAAAAAATTATAAATATTTATATACAAGCGTCAACTATATATGAAAACTACAACCCAACTTGCAAGAAGTTGGTCCCAAATTAAATAATCAAAAAGGTGAAACAGGCAACTAGCTAAATTTTGGGAATAGCCTAACAATAGAAGGTACGAGTAAGTTGCACGAAGTTTTATGACTTTTATTTAAAATTAAAAAAAAATAGTTATCAAACTAAAAAGAAAATAACTATTTATTAAATTAGGTGATTTCTTCCTCATAAGATTTTTTTCTTTTTTGATAAAAAGGAGTGACTAAGGTGGGAACTGAAAGTTTAATCTACCACCACTTCTAGCCACCCAAGGGCATGGAATCAGACGAAGGGTCGTCAAAAAGAGAAAAATCTGAGTTGTTGCCGAGAAAAAAGATGAATCCATTGCCATATTCCCTCCTTAAGATAAACCAAATAGGGTGAATTTGCATATCGATCGATCGCACAAAGATTATTATCAACAAGTCCACAATGCACCCTTAAAAACTGTCCAGAATAACACCAAGAATGTTCGAAGACAGGAACCTTCGGAGATGAGATTAGGCATGACAATCTAACCCGTTCTCGTGGGTACCCACCCGAACCCGCCCTGATTTGGATGGGGAAAATCTGTGTTTATCAGGTTCGAGTTTTTCCCGATTGATAAAATTGGGGACGGGGGCGGAGGTGTTAATACCTACCCCACTCCCGCCCTCATACGCGCCCCCGTGCTCGTTCCACTTAATAATATAATTAAAAAATTATATATATATATATATATATAAACCAAAATTATAAATATTTATTTATTTTACTTTTTTTATTTTTTTTTTGAAATTATTCATATTTATTTTTTAAAAAAAAAAGAAAAAAAATAGGAGAACGGAAGCAGGGACGATTTAAATTTGAGGGAGCGGGGGCGGAGAACGTAAAACTCGCTCCCACCCCGCCTCGTTGCCATGGCTAGATGAGATACATCCCACTCACCATTCACTTTAACATAGTCACGCACTCTAAAGTTGGTGGCTTGTGGTAAGCCATAGAGAGAAGGTCAGAGTTCAAAGGAAGCCACACATCTCTCCAAAACCGAACCTTGCAACCATTCCCAACAACCCACCAAATATTATTTGCTACAACATTCCACACACCCTCAATGCCCTTGCAGGTTTGGGAATCAGTGACTCTCATTTGCATCGTAGGAATGGTGTCCTGGCTTCAACTTTGAATTTGATTGCATAATATAGATAGAAGATAAACAGTTATAAATAATTCAAATAAGCTAGTCATCAAAACCCAAATCGCGAAGGGTGTCCATGACGAAGTCCCACTTAATATTATCATAAGTTTTCTCCCGATCAATTTTAATATCCATGAACCCAAACCTTCTCTTTGACATTCGTGTTGAATCCTACCAAATGAATGTTTTAATAATGACAATATTCAATTCCATATTTCTATCATAGGAGAATGTTCATAAATAATATTAATAATTTTGCTTAAGTGTTTTAGATTCAGTTTGTAATGTACTAAAAAATATTAATTGTAGGAGTTTTAGCTCAAAATAACAGTCAAAAGTACAATCATGATTTGAAATTAAATGAAACACCTTGGTTATAGTTATCCTATATGTGCATGAGTCTAATGTTTCGACGGGATTCAAGTTTGATCATCTTCTCTCAAGGAAGATGCCTTGAAATTCTAGTACATTAGCATCTCTGGTAGAGCCTCCAAGTAACAAGTCTCCATTCAAACTTGACTTCTTAAAAGACCGATACTGCTGACCTTATTTAAAAGGTTAGTTAGAAGCTCACTTAGAAGGAAGCTTTAGAAGTAGACTGCTTCTGAAGGATATGCTTACAATACCAAAATAAAAATACAAGATGATGTCAACATTGCTTAAAAGTTAAAACAACTCCAATGAACCTATTTTTGGAGCCTATAGAAGGAAGTAACTTAACAGGTGGCAAAGGGTTCTATAAAAACAACAGGTAGCTAGTTTGTGTAGGGTAAATCCAACAAGTGGATGGTGTTTATAATAAGAGCAATTGATATTGATCATAGTGAAAAAACTCACAATGTGTGTGAGTACTAGGTGTAGCCCATGGTTGGGTGAACGAGTATAAATCTATATTTACAATCTCTCTTACCTTATCTCTTTTACTTATTTCAATTGTTTATTATTAATTATATCTATGTTGCATATTCAATTGTTGTGTAAAAATATGTTAAAGGACTTTATAAAGAAAGAACCAAGTTTGTAGAATCAAAAACATCAACTTTTGAAGAACTATTTAATAGAAAATCATTCAAAACATACCTTGGCAAAACTAAGTTGGTAAAATCCTTCAGAAGCACTTGCATCTAAGTATCAAAATTTTATAAAGACTTGATTTTTAAGAAACACAATAAAAACCTTCCTTCTTGTTAGCTAACATTTTCTTCATTTGGTATCAAAGCTTGACTCCTAGAGTTGAGCTCACTTAATAATGGAGGAGAAAAGATCTTGAAGAAGTAAATGGTTATTTAACATCCAACAATGTTCATTCCAATAGGTGCTTCAACAAACAAACCTCTAGGCTTTGGTGGAAAGGACTATTATTGTTGGAGGGATTGAATAAAGTTATTCCTAGATTCATAGGATGGTTATATGTACCAAAGAAAACTTCGAAGTATAGCAAACCAAAATAAGAATGGAATGTTGAAGAAAAATCTAGATGCGAGCTAAATGCTAAAGTCAAATTCTATCTCACATGTGCACTCAGCAAATTTAAGTATGATAAAGTGAAAGATTACACTACAACAAAGGAAATCTAGGAAAATCTCAAAGTAGCACATGAAGGAATAGATCATGTAAAGGATTCCAAAGTAAATATTTTGACTCATCAATTTGAAATGTTTAAAATGTGGGAACAAAAATCCATAAATAACATGTATAATAGGTTTACTGTTATGATGAACGAGCTAAATGATATGGCAGAAAATTCTACCACACATCAAAAGAAAAAAAGGATCTTGAGAAGTTTACCAAAAATATGGAGATCAAACATTATAATTATCCAAGAAGCCAAAGACTTGAAGATGTTATAGATGGATGAACTAATTGGATCACTCAAGGTACATGAGTGAGAACTGTAAGAAGAGCTTTAACCTAAAGGGAAAACAATAGCACTTAAAGCTAGTAAAATATATAAGGCCTTGAAAACTAAAGAAGATTCAAATTCAGAAGATTTTGATGAAAACTTAGAAGATAATGAGTTAGTACTTCTGACAAGGAGAGTCCAAAGACTACTTAGAAAAAGAAAGGGAATGAAGAGAATCTCATTTATAAAAGAATCACCAAGTGGAGAGACATTAAAAAATGGTGTAAAATGTTATGAACATAATAAACTAGGACATTACAAAACAGAATGTCCTCTACTCAAGAAATATGAGAGAAAACAAAAGAAGAAAGTCATGATGGTCACTTGGAATAACTCAAAAGAATCATCTTTTGATGGTGAAAAAGAACAAACAAAAAATCTTTGTCTAATGGCAAACTCAAACAAAGAGTAGGTACGTGAATCAAATTTTGAGATGTTTGAAAATGAAAAATGTAACGACCCGCCATGGCCGTCACACTACGAACAATAGTCAAGAAGTTTAGGATTGTCTCAGCAATGATTCTAGAAATTCTGTTTCTAAGATTTGTTTAGAATAAGGCACATGAATTTCTAAAAAAAAATTGCAAATTGAATGCTAAGTACCAAGTTACCAAATAAGAAAAATATATATATTTAACAATATCAAACTATTTTAAAGCCCATAAATTTATAATTTTCAAGAAGGAATGCACATTACATATAAAACATGAGTTTGAATTAAAAACTTTTAAAAATGTACTGTCTGTGTTTCTTAGTGATGATTTTGATGCAGCTTTTGAGCACTCGCTCAAGTATGATGTTGGAAAAATTTTCTTTTTTGGGAAGTTTAAGTATATTCACTCTACATGTTTCTTGTGCATTTCTTGGATGTATATTATATGTACAGGAAAACTGGTACCTAGAGTGGCACTTCGACGTATTGATAGTGTGGACTTTGGCAAAGACCAGAGAAATTTCTAAAGCAGAAGATCTTCTAAAGGGCTTAAAAAACAGGTGAAAGTGTTTTATTTTGCATAAGGCATTTGAGATACAATAATTCTGACATATTCATGTTATCTTACTATAGGATTCTGAGGATGACTAAAAAGAAACAACAACGCATGCAGAGAGTAATGATGCTATGCTTTAGTAGCTGCTTCCATGAATATATGAAAATGTAGTTAGATAGTATGTCTAGTTCATAGCTCTTATTCTTTATTCTGTTGGAGTACGAGACATGACAACCTTTCTTTGTTGCACTCACTTTGTCACATACAACCTTAACCAATAATGTTACCGGAAATTTATCATTTACGGGTCATTCAGAAGTAGGGATGGATATTGCACAAATGGGTAGATTCTAGGTTGGGTGCTGTGGCTCTTTTTACTTGTTTAAAAAAATTAATTACTGTTGGATTGGATTAGTAAATAAGTCCTTATTGAGTCAGTTTTGGTTCTACATTCTTGATTCATTGTTTGCATTTTGTTGAGTTAAAAAAATTGAGAGATATTGTGTGTCATGCTCATACTCGTACTTGGATGGTTCAACCAGATTATTTCCCAGCAATAAATAACTGCATGAAAAACCTATACAACTGCGTTGTTTTCTTTTCTACTGATGTTGCTGTTATAATAAGGTTCTCATTAGCATGCTTTTGCTTTGCTTTGCTTATTCAGAGGAAATGTATTTTTTCTTAGTCAAAATTGTTTCCTCCATTTCTCTTGTTTGAACTTAGCTTGCAGAGGCACTTTATGCATATGAAAGAGGTGACGACAGACATGGACTGGAATTACTTGATCCAAATTTGTTTAGAATAAGGCACATGAATTTCTCTATGCATATTGGATGCTCATTGGTGTCAAGTACTTAGCTTCTACTGTTAAGATTACAGATTGATAGTTTGCTGTTAGACTAGTACATTTAATTGATACTTGAGAGGTGATATATTGTTTCTGACTTCTGGATTTGCTGATATATGACTATTCTTCATTCTCCCTATACGTTCTAGTTGATTCTTATTGGTAACATGATTTTCTTTTTCTGCTTTATTTTAATTGAATGTATTTTTGGAAAGCCTAACAGAGGGAACAGGGTATTGAGCAGTAGAAGCTAGAATCTGTCAATATAAAATATCTACGTAATTTTCTTCAATTTACGTAAGATAAATTTTATTTAATCATTTTATTCACAATTTTAATAACAAAAATATGGAATACTTATTCATTTTAAGTTGTTAAATTATATTAAGTCGTTTTTCTTTTCTTTTCTTTATACTTCTAGATATAAGTAATTTTTTAAAAATATATGGCAATAAATTTTCTTGTTAAAACACTCACAACTTATACATGTCCACACATAACATATAGCAACTTTATCAACTTAATTTTAACTAGCTTCAACAATATCATAGATCAACACAACTTGTAAATAACTTCACAACTTAACTACAATTTATAAGTCAATTCAGTAGTTTGGAACGACCCGTTCCAATTTGGGAATGGCCCGTTCTGGGCTACTGAATCACCTAACCTACTACGTTACAACAAAGAACGTTATTTGCTTTTGATAATCTTTTGAAACATTCAAGCCTATACTAGCTCATAAATCTATCTCTCTTAAAGGGAAACTTTTAATTGCTTAAAAGGAAAACGAGAAAGTCTCTCTAGATAATGAAATTTTGAGCAAAAGAAGTTTGGATAAGCTAATTGATGATCAAAAGCATTTCCAAGATAAACAAGGTTAGGATTCAAGGTAGAAAATCAAAAGAAGGTTGCCTATTATCATCCTAAATTCAGAAAAATGCCGAGAAAAGATGTTCCAATTGTAATAGATGGGGACATGGTGTTTCTAATTGTTATTAGAGAAGGAATATGGTCAGAAGAAAGGTTACTAACATGAGAGGACCTAATTAGGGGTGTTCAAAAGAGTTGAACTAAATTAAACTATATGATAATTAAACTAAACTAAAAAAAAATAGTTTACTTAGATTGAATTGAAATAAAAATAGTTTAAGAAAACTAAACTAAACTATTTTTAAATTTAGTTAACTATTACTAAAAGTTTGAACTAAACTATTTCCTCAACTTAATTAAAATATTTTTTAATTAGATACTTATAATATGTTTTTATCTATCGAAATAATTTTACAAAGACTCATAATAAAAATAAATAATACCTATTTGATAATTTTGACAGTTGGTTATTTATGAAAATTAATAATTAATAATCAATAAGAAATATAATTAATGGATAGTGAGTGGGGAAGAAGAAATTTAATAGAAATAAAATAATAAAAGTAAAAAAAGTAATATTCATAAAAAAGAATATAGGAATATTTGGAATTAATAATTCCTTTATTAACTGATACATTTAATATTTATTGCTAGCTAACGTATTGCGTATACTATTTTTATTCTTGCTTCGTATATTTTTTCTTTAAAAAAAATTGAGTTTAATTTACTTAAGTTTATTTTATAGTGAAAAAACTAAATTTGTTATTAATCAACGTCGAAACAAAATTCTTGTCTTCTTGGGAATGAAGTATTAACGTCCTTAGATCCATAAACCTACTTGACTTCCTCACTTTATGTTGAGTTACTAATTACCTTAAGGTCCAGCAGTTCAGTGAAATAGACTCTTACATTGGTTCAATTTTTGTGAACAACATAACTAAAAGAGATAGTTTAGTGCAGTTTTATTTATAAATAGTTTAATTATTAGTGATTTATTGTAGTTCAATTATAAGTAGGTTCATAGTTTTCAGTTTATGTGAATAGTCCTAGACCTAACAAAGTATGAGTAATAAAATATCTTTTAATTTTTGATGTAAGAATGTCTCATGCATAAAAGTAAAAGATGGCAATGGTACTTGGACAATAGATGTTTAAAACATATGACATGAGATAAAACCAAATAATTCTTAACTCTTGAGAATAAGCCAGATAAAAGTTTTGTCACATTTAGAGACAACAAAAAGGTATCAATAAATTCATTAGAAAAATAGGTAACATAAAATCTGTTAAGATAGACAACATTTATTATACGAAAGGCTTAAAACATAAACTTCTAAGTATTAACCAACTATGTTATGAGGTTATGTTTGAGCCTAATACATGTTCATTAGAGAAAAAACTACATGGAAAGTCCTCTTTTCTATAAATAGAGAAAATAATATCTATATAATGTATATCTAGAAGATATACTTGATCATCCATGTCTTGCAATGATTGAAAATGATAAATGATTGTGGCATAAAAGAGTAGGACACAAATAAGAAAACCTTGTCAAAGTCATCTAATCTAGACCTTGTTAGAAGATTTCCAAAGATTAGATATGAGAAAGATAAAGTATGTGAAGTCTGTACAAAAGGAAAACAAACAAAATGAAGTTTTCAACCTAAGAAATATGTGTCTTCTCAAAGAGCTCTTGAACTACTTCACATTGATTTATTTGGTCCAACAAAAACATTTAGCCTTGGAAAAAAGAAATATGATTTTGTTATTGTTGATGATTTCTTAAGGTATACTTGGATTTTGTTTCTTACACACAGATGAATCTTTTCAAGCTTTCAAAATTTTTAGTAAGAAAGTACAAAATGAAAAGGATTTGAAATTTGTCTATGTAAGAAGTGATCATGGTGATGAATTTGAAAATGCTTTATTTAAAAGTTTCTGTGAAGATAAAGGTATCAATCACAACTTCTCATGTCCTAAAACACCATAACAAAATGGAATTGTGGAAAGAAAGAATAGATCACTTCAAGAAATGGTTAGAACGCAGGAATTCAAAATTTTGGGTTGAAGATGTGAGTACAACTTGCTATATCTTAAACACATTAACTCTAAGAAATATCCTTAAAAATCCTTTTGAGTTATGGAAAAACAAGAAGCCTAGTATACTATATTTTCATGTGTTTTGCATGTACATGTTTCATTCTGAATAACAAAAACAATCTAGGAAAGTTTGATGAAAAATCTAATAAGGAAATATTTCTAGAATATTCTTCAACATCTATGGTATATATATAGGAACTATAATTTGAAAACATTATCTACTGAGAAAGTATGCATGTTATATTTGATGAAAAAGATAATACTCTTGAGCTGGAAAATATCACAGATTTAGAAAAAGAACTAGAAAAATTAAAGGTACACTAGAAGGATAAGGAATCTTCTAATGTTGCTATAGAAGGAAGACCTTTAACACCAACTCAGAAATAGGAGTTGTAAATAGTAACAAATGAAAGAGTTGTTATGCTAAGAAGTTGGAGATTTGCAACATCTCATCCACCAAAATTGATCATCGGAGAAACTTCATCTAGTGTCAAAACAAGGGGTGCAATTAATAGAGAAAACAACCTTGTGGCTTTATTATCAAATATGAACCTAAGACGACTAGTGTACAATATGATTTTCGTCTCAAAAACCCATCTCAAAAAATTGTATAACAGTTGGTATTTATCTCTCTCCACCATTAATAATATCCTTCTTCATAATAAATGAAGTGATGAAAAGAAATAGATATAAAAATAATATTATATAAATTGTTGTATAATTTTTGTTGTACATGTAACAATATTCTAAAAAATATTGGGTTAAGCCTATAATTTCTTTTTCTTTCTTCTCTCTTGATGTTTTCACTAGAGAAGCATGGGTTGCAAATATCAAATTAATTATGAAGGTAAGATTGATATTTTTTTTATGTTTTATTATTGTTATTTTAAATTTTAATTTATTTTGCATCTTTTTAAATTAGGAGTGTTTCATTTTTTTTCTAAATCATGATAATTTTTAAGTATTATAAAATATAGAGAAAGGAATTTCTCTATATTGCATCGATTAGAGTTTTAAAACTGAGATTTTTAGAATATTAGGATGAAGAATTTTTTATTAAAAATTTTGAAAACATGATTTCCATTATTTTGACTAAATTCGATGATCAAATTACAAGAATAATCTTAACTTGTTTTTTCTCATATATTATAATTAAACTTAAGATTTACATAAATAAATGTTAGCTATAGCATAGACATCAATTGATAGATAAATTATGTATAAAAATTGATAAATAAATAAATAAATAAAATTATTGAAATCTGATTTTTATTAGTGTTTTTTTTTTTGTGAGACCCAAATCCTTCTACTCTTTCTTTCTCTTCTCATTTTCTTATTTTCTTCCTTCACTCACTTACGTTCACTTGTTGGGCTGGAAAACGATTTCACTCTTGAAATTCCTTTGTTGCTAAACTCATTCTCTCATTTTGATTCACCAAGGTATTGAGCAATAAGGGAAGTTGGGGACTTTGAGCATTGGAGTCGCACAGATTCACCTTCTCCATTCTTCTCCTTCGTTCTTCTCTTCATCTTCCTCGTAGATCTTGGGATTAAGGTAAAGGAAGCTAGAATCTTGAGATGTTGTTTGAATCGAAGCATAATATTGACCGAATTCTTGGAAAATTTGAGTTTTGGGGGTGGATTTAAGGTTGGTTGCATGTTGAAAGCTGACACCTTGTGGTTGTTCTTGAATGAGATGGGTAAAAATTGGGTGATCATGAAACTTGATGCATACATGTTGTGATTCTTGATGTTTTTGGGTTGCATGTTGTTGGTAGTGGTGCGTTTGAGTTGTAGCATGGATTGGATCTCCTTGGATTGCAGGTTCATGGAGGATTTGAGTGAAAATGAAGGTGAAATCCATGAAGTTTTAGAAGTTCAGAAACCCACAGCTATAGCCATGGAGGAAAAATGAACTTGTAGAAACCCACAGACATAGCCGTGGATTCACAGTTGTAACGTAGTAGTTAAAAAAAATGGGTGATTCAGTAGCCAGAACGGGCCGTTCCCAAACTGGAACGGGCCGTTCCAAACTACTGAAATGACCTATAAATTGTAGTTGAGAACGGGCCGTTCTAGAGGGAGAACGGGCCATTCCAAATTCCAAAACGGGTCATTCTGGTTGGAGAACGGGTCGTTCCAGAGGGAGTACAGGTCGTTCTGGATGGAGAACGGGCCGTTCTGGATGAATACCAGAACGGGCCGTTTTGATTTCAGAACGGGCCGTTCTACATGGTTTTTGTACGTGTTGAGGGAGTGCAGAATGGGCTGTTCCGATTTCGGTACAGGCCGTTCTGCCCACTCCGGAACTTCTATAAATAGGGGTTGGGGGCAGTTGAGGAGAATGAGTTTTTAGAGAGAAGTTTTAGAGAGAAGAACTCTAGGTATGTGAGCTCCTTTCTCTCCCAAATTTCTCTGTATGATTCCTTTTCTCCTCTAGATTACTAATGTCTTCTGTCTTTCCTTGAAATTCAGATTAGGAAGCTTAATTTGG